AGGTGAAAAGAGTAACTAAATCAAGAAGTGTTTATTTATTGACATAGTGGTTTACTTGTGCAATATTATCTACGCTAGTAACAAGCTAAATTCATGAACTCTTTTTGACATAGTGGTTTACTTGTGCAATATAATCTAAACTAGTAAACAAGCTAAATTTCATGAACTCTTTTTTGTCTGGATTTTGTGAAGAACACCCAGAAAGGAATCCTCGCAGGCTTGTGTCCGGAGCTGATTTTCTATGTGCTATGAGACGTTTTCGACTTGGCAATGCTTCGTGTTAATTGTTCTCTTCTGAATCAACTGTTAATGCAAGCTTACCCTCCAACTCCTCCAGCAAATCATGATAGTAGGCAAAAGCTCCATGTGCCTTTATAAATGCACATGGCACAAGCACAGATTATTTATTTCTGAAAATTAGAAGAGGAAAAGAAATGTGTTCCATATGTGAAGAAAATTGCACCTGTATAGTTATGCTGTATGCTTTCCACAACCGCAAATCATGTCTAAAAAGATCAAAAAGAACCTGTAGAGACAGCAGTAAGAAAATCTTATGTCAATTGNAAAAAAAAAAAAAAAAAAATCAACACGGTTAGACGGTAATGCAGACCAAAGTTGTTTAAAAGCACTGAGGAGGATTTTCGTAATAACAACATGATTGAGCTATCCTTCAAATTACAAATGACCACTTAATATTTTCCTAAAAGATATTAAAAATAATTGAACTCACAGAGCGGTATTTGGTGACTGGTGAGCTAACAATTTTTTGACAAATTTAGCAACAATGTTTAACAATACCTCAGAACGCCTTAATAACGTGGCCAATACCACTATCCATTCTTTGAACTTGACCGAACACATGTGAGCCAAGAGGAATTCTGCTTCCAACCGACTTTGCAGCATTTCCATATTGAGCTACGCATAAAAAGTAAAATCAAAATGGATTACATATCTCAAGTTCATTTAAATATATAGTGAATTCTCTTCGGCTATATAGGTGCGTGTTGCATATCCATACATGCATATGTAATGTCCGGAAAAGGATGGCTACATAGAAATATAAATTCATCATCCATCGATTACAAGGAAAAAGGTGATAACATGATAGTGTCAGTTGGTCTCCCAGAAAGACTTTGAAAGTTCACCATTAAAAAATTGCACAAAATCCAAAAATAGAGAATGTTTTTTAAGCTTTCCATTATGTTCCTTGTTCTCCAAGCCTTAACAATACATCCAGATACCTTTTGACCAATCATTTCAAGCCCTGAAGCAAAATTCTCCAAACGGGCACTTCCATATCTTTCTCGTTGAAGATAATCCTGCATAAAATTGTTTTACGCTTCTATGACTAGTGGACTGACAACAAAGATTATTCATCTGAAGAACTAAAAAGAGTGACTTATACCACTAAATCGAATTGGGTGCCTTTGACAAATGCAACAAGCTTTGAAAGCTCCTTTCCGGACATCAAAAAGCTGGCATGGTTTTCTAAAATACTTTTCACAGAAGCAACATGCGCACTCGGCTCTTTGAATGATGAGCTGCTGAACATTGAAGAAAAGGAAAAGGTCTACAAACGTCAATATAGCTGCCCAGGAAGGAGAAGCTGAATGATTCTAAAACTCGTTGGGGAAAGAATATTTTATATTATAAATAACTAATAATAATCATCTTAATTCAGCACATATTCTTACCTTCTAGAATCATGTGGATGCTTCCTGAAACTCGTTGGGAAAAGAAAATATCCCAAAAATCTTGGAGAGTCTCTCTCAGAGTCCGTATTCGTGGATTCATATTCTCTTCCAGACCTTAGAAGAAACCTCACCTGTAAACAAGAAAGATTTAAAATCTACAAGGGAATATGACAGCCATCTTCCAGAAAGGTAATGCAACATAGACACATACCAGCTCCCCAGCTAGTTCATACAAAGACTCGTCAAGCGTGGCCTAGACAATTGATAAGTCCATGTCAAAAAGTGTAACATACATGAAAATCTCCCAAAAAACAAAAAAAAAAAAGTAAAGGAGAGGAAACATTCAAGTGTAGCATCATTAGGAATGATAATAATCAGCCCATTCAACCAGAAACTAGTCAACCGAGCATCAAATAATGTAATTACTGACTTCTCGGTTGAAAACAACTTGCTCTTAGGAATTGTGTTCTTAATCTAGTATTATAAGAAGGTATCAGAAGGTGTTTTGCCTAGACGAAGAGAAGAATTATGCAATCACCTGCAATAACCGCAAGGCACAATATTGGCTCACAGCAGGACCTTCAAGCTTAGCAATGACCTGCGGCAACACAAACAACAAGGATTGCAATTAGCGTCAAAAGAATCTTGTCTAGAACAGATGTTGCAAATGCTTCTTCTCTTTCTCGCTGACTCAAAATACAAGAGAACATATGATCGATAACCATTTCTTTGCCATGATCTCAAAAGGAAATATAATTCCAATAGTTGCTTTTAGATGGCTGATGGAGCTAATCAGCATGTATGTAAGCCAGTCAGAAATAATGTTGGATTCATTTATTAGATTTGATATTACATGTCAACTTGATAATACAAAACAACCAGAACAAAAGTCCAAATCCATAGTATATACACAACTAATGAGATGACACTTACAAGTATATAACAGGCTGCCGTGCGGTACCACCTTCGCTGAAAGCATTCTTCAAACAACCTGAAATTATAAACTGATTCGAGTTAAGCTAGTTCATATGACGTAGTGAAGGAATTATATTTGGTGACAAAGGAGAACCTAATAAATAACACTTCAGCTCTCAAGCAGCAAGCAACACACTCTAAAGTGATGATGTTAACTAGAGACCATAAGTATTTGAAGTGAATGAAAATAAATTAAAGTCTTCTATTCGATGCAAGTTCTAGCTATTTTGTAGAGAAAAAACAAAATAAAGTCCCGTACTCCGTTGATCTCCCGGCAGCAGAAAACAAATCTGCCCAATGTCGGCCATCTGTTTTCCGTGCTACACTAACAACAACATCGTAGTATTCAGGAAAATTTCTGATCAGATCACAGGTCTTCTCCAAAAGAGATGCAGTACGATTTGACACTGCTGTCTGGTTTTTGCTAGAATTCTGCCTGTAGAAAAATGATGGAAGATCCACTGTAATTAGAAAAATGATTGATATATATAAGTATTAAATACAATTTATAAAATTTTATAAAGAGTAATAAAACATATCAATTCTAAAGCAAAGTTTGATTAGGTGAAGTTCCTTTAAGAAATATACCCTCCACCATCCTTGTATAATAAGGAACCTGAATATTGTGTTTTCCATAAAGTTCAACTAACTCATTACAAATTCATAACCGTCAAACTGCACAGGTGAGCAAACAAATTTAGGGCTGACGAATGCTATTTTTCATTGACCCCAAAAAGGTTATTCTACATACTTAATTTCTCATCCATACTCAACCACGTGGTTCAACTCTAGTTGAAAGGACCATTTTTGGTGCATAGCATATGTAATGTGTTTTATTTTCAAGGATGCACCAAAATGAGAATACAATTAGCATTTCAAACAATTATTCAATTTTGACTAAGTGTCCGCACTTAAAATGATTTAAGTAGTTTAGACACCCTGCAAAATCCAATCAGGTTTCACAATTTTGCCGTGGAACACTTACAATTAAACTTCAAAGTGGACCATAACAAAGAATGTGAAAGGAAGTTTCTGAAAATCATTACCTTGAAACGTCAGCATCAAAAACTGTAAATAGAAGCCATTCTAGGCAACGAGAAAAATGTGGCTTCTCTGTGGATAAATTTGCAAGACGTAGAGCTTCTTCCCTCTTATCCCTCTGCAAAGTCATAACTAAAATTATATATTACATAACTACATAGAATAACAAGAAAGGCAGGAATAACTTTTTGGGTTTTTCCAGTACAATGTGTTGTGAGTCTAAACAGTTATGGTAGATAGAGCTTGGAGGAGACGACATTCAGAGGTCCAGCTCCTTCATAAAACTTCTCTCTCCAATTTCGCTCCTCCAAACAAGCCAATTCAATTTTGCATAAATCTAAACAAGCCCCGAATGCATTTTTTCCTTTTTAAAAATTTAAAAGAAATTTTATGTAACCATCCATAAAGAAAAGATTTTCAGCCATAAATTCTCAATGAATAAAGTATTGGCAGATCCATGCAGTTGAGATATTGGAATGTTCTTCTGTGTGTTGGCGGTTTATTATTCTGGATTGAAAGTTTAAGCTGCCACTTTTATTATGTCTATTCAACAGAAAAAAATAAGTAAAAAAAGTTGGGCATTACATAAGCGGAAGTAAGTGGCACTAGGAAATGCTAATTCTTGCATCGTAACTCTAAAGGCAGGGAATGCTCTGTCCTTCAAATATCATCATTATTCATTAAACAAAATTCAATTTAATAATGTTATCTGAATGAATGCAGAAATATATTTGTCCATCATCAAGATGATTGATGATGTTACTCACACAGGGTAAACGTAAAATATTGGAGAAAGGGTGTCTCAGAGAGAAACTATCTGCTATGTTCAACTGCATGACACATGCTTAGACAGAGAAAAAAATTTGAAGTCCAAGTTGGTGCAGTTATGTACCTGAAGAAGATGCCTTAGCAGACAATGTAATATGGTTTGTGCTTGAGGAGAAGGCTCAAAACATGGGAACTCAGTGCATGCTGAAAATGACATTCTCTGGCAAACACCAACTACTACACCAGCATTTGGAAGCAGACCAAGAGGGTACACCTCACGATCAAATTCAAGTTCTGGATCCAGCTAGGTATCACATCAAACCACTAATTCAGATTTTGTTCACTAGTTCAAGTGAAATGCAATAAAAAAAACAAATAATGAGAAAGAGAAACTAAATAAATGTGATGACCAGGAGTTAGCTCCAGTGACAATACATCATGAAAATCGTTCTATATATGTTTAACCCATACTACACATTTATATTACCATGACCAAGTATGGTACCACAGGTTGTCTATCGTTGTTGCCATAATTTATGCAAGGAGATTATATGAGCCAAAAGATAAATACAATACCTGCAAAAAATCTTCCTGCTTAAAAGGATCGACACCTGGAGATGGATACCAAACCTGTAGATGAGCTTCAACCAGTATGCATATCAGACATGTCAAGGAAAATGGACAAGTTACTTCAAGAGATGTTATATGCATGGAAACTGTTACCTGCATCCCTCGATGGCCGTAATCTAACCAAGATACTTCCTCAATTAAGTTTGTTTTCTCTTCTGATTGACCACAAGTAACCCAGAATAACTCCACAGAGTGTGTGAGCTCTCTTTCTCGCCCATCATCCAAATCAAGCAGTGAAAGTTCTCCATTCATCCGCAAAATCAAACACCTAAACAAGTACACAGACAATGACTAGCCAGGCCTTCTCATGCTAAAGATCATGAAATATGCACTCGTACCTTGCAGGTTCTCTTGGCTGTAAGTCAGATATTGATGAAATATCACCTGTAAGAGAGCACTCTCGTTGGAACTGATCGGGGATGAAGTGCATTGCAGCTGGATGACTCTTTGCAGTCATGATTGAGAGCTCTCGTACTGTAGAAAGCTGTTTGTCATTTTATCACTTAAAATATGCATGTTGAATATAGCTTTTGTTTAAAACTCGTATTTTGGGTAAAAAAAATGGACCAAGTAACTGGAAATAATGGTTTGAAAACTAACTATTGTAAATTCTGTTTTTCAACTTAATTTACCTGTAAATCTGGAGTGCTGGAAGGTGACAGTTCACCATTTAACTTCACGTGGTATATATGAACATCAAAGGGGCGATATGTGACGAGCAAATAGTCTTGATAAACGTCCATGACCATCGGCTGCGCAAGCAATGGTTTCCGGCAAAGCAGCGAACTCTGATCTAGGTGATATCTTGGGTAGAAAAGTAATTCATATCTGCAATCACCAATCATTGTGACAGGAACCAAGTGTCAGGAGAGTAAATGAGTGATATGATTGACGGTAACTTAAACGAAACTAGATACAGCTGCAGTTCAAAAAGGCTGAGGAAAAGCAGTTACTCGCAGTGAAGACCATAAGAAAAAGACTTGGACCAGATAACTGATAAACAAGAAAAGTTTCTTCCATTCAATGTCTATAATTGTATTTTTATAGTTTATTTGAATAGTATTCCAATAACATGCACTCCTACAAAGAAAACTTTCCTCACAAAAAAGAAGTAGGGTGGATATTAGGCTTATGAAGAGAAACCAATATTGTAGGACTGAGAATGACCTCACTTCAGTACAGTAACAATTATCTGGATACTGTTTCATCTATCATTCCTTTAACAGAGATCTCGTTTTAACTTAATGGATAAAATGGGATATTGAGTAACTACTAACTATCATAGTTCCATACAGAAAAATTCAGCAACAATGTAAACAACGTTAGCAGATTTCTAGAAACATCATCCTACCTGATAATTTCTCACAATAGGCATTCTGACCATCACAAATTAACTAATGAAACTACCTCAGCATTGGTAGCAGCAAAAAAGTTACAGAGACATTTAATCACCCTATATGATTAAAGTAATCAGAGAACTAGAGTTGAGCCAAAACAAGAAATTGGTTTGCTAATAATTTTACTACTTCCAGAACAACATGGCTTGGGACTAAAAGACTATGTTGTTGTTGTTGTTGTTGTTGTTGTTCTTCCAGAACAACATGAAGATGCAGCTGTAGAAGTTGTATAGTGATTGATTTCTCACGCGTTAGAAGAGTCGACATAGTTGCAGATGACAACGATTTTCCCCAGCCATAGCAACCCTCTACATTGAATTTGTTGTTCCTGAGTAACATCTCCAAAGACTCTCCACCGCTTTAGTCGTATATCGTACAATATCAAGCCATGAAGCCCTGCAACTGCCAGATACATCCCATCCCTACTAGCAGCAACGTGTAAAACGGGCCAGTTTTGTGATATATAAGATACCTGACACATTCCAGTCAATAAGAAGCAATATCTAATAGAAGGAGGTACGGAATTTGGGTAGAAAGGCAAGCCATTCCCAAAAGTGTGTTTCAATACTTAACTGGAAGATTGAGGTGCAATATCTTAAGTTCATCGGTATCTTCTGCATGTACAATAAGCAATCGGTCTTCTCCATAAATAACTTGTCGCACGTAGGTCGTACCCGAAACACCTCTATTGAGGCAGCATTTGCCAAAGGAGAATGCAATAATTCTCTCATACGATCTTTCTTCAATAACATAAAGCCTAAACCCATGTTCGTCCCAATGCATCAGTGAGGCTCCACCCATCACAGGTTCATACTTCAAATCCTGGTTTGGCTTAACAACAGGAGAAGAAACAGAACTCAAACCTATCTGACGGATTGTAGACATCAAACGACAGCCAGAGACAGACCAAACCGTAAGACCTCTTAACTTCCATCCAACTGCAAAAGCCGAGTTGTCAGGTGTCCAAGCAATACAACTGACAGGTCCAGTATCTTCCACACTATATCTGCACCAACAAGTTCATAGAGAAGGAATTATGTTCATCATATATCATGACAGAATAAAAAAAGAAATTAACATAGAATACTTTGAAAACAGTGACAAGAACCCTGGAAAAATGAGCTAGATACACTTATGATTAAAACTGAACACTCGCAGTTAACAAAAGAGTGGGAAAGAACATGGCTACACAAAATGTTGTACCATCCCTACGATGAATGAAATCATAAAAGTCAAGTCAGATATTAAAATACAAGAAGTCAAGAAGCAAGGCAAATTTTTTTTTTTTTTATTTATCTTTTTGGCAGGAAGGGGATGGGGGGAGGGGAGAACAGGTGATAAGGTATTTGGGTTCCTTCAAATATTTGGCTATTTTCCAAACCAGAGACAGCTATACGAACCATATATTAAAGTCCACACTATCTACCATGAGTGGGAAAAAAAGGAAAAGAAAAACATTGCCACCGAAATGAGAAGTCCAACTGTGTCATTGAACTCGTCATACCATGCGATATTCTATATCTACTTTTCAAGGCATCAAAGAAATAGAGACCACTACAAAGACTTCTCAGAATGAAAATCTTACCCCCAATCATGCAAAGAGACAGAGCGAATAAGTGAAGCAGAATCTGCAAGGTCATACAACCGAACAATTCCCTTTAGAGTTCCAACAGCAAGAATTTGTTGCTCTGGAGCCACTGATGCACATACAACATCCTCCGAAACCAATCTCCTTTCAACTAAAATAGATTCAGTGAGCTTCAGACCTCTCTTGCTCACAGAACACTGAATGAGTTTCCCATCAGAAAACAGCACTAATAGCAACCGCAATGTCATTGAATACTCAAGATGAACAACTGCAGAGGTCTGAGGTACAATGTGATTCACATGGTTGGACACATCAACACCTTGAATTCCGCTTGTAATTAGGCCGTTGCCCAAGTGATTGGACAATTTATTCGTACCGGTGTTATCATGTCGCGACACATCAAGGAAAAATGCACCGCAAAACTGTATTATGACAGAAAACTATTACTTCTCCCATTGTCCAAAACCAAGGTAAGACTAAATAGTTAAAACTTCCCAACACAAAACCGACAAGACTACTTTAAATATCACAGAATAATTGTATATTCTAATGAAATGCACATAATCTAGAAAAGTTACAATATATATACATATATATATATTGATAACAAAATAAATTACCATGCAAAAGTGCATACCTCACCCTTCCAAGATATGTTGTACAATGATCCATCAGAGAGTCCAATCAGCATGTGTTTGGTATCACAAATGAAGTTGCTCCTATCATCGGAACATGAAAAACACAACATTTTACTGAGGATCCAAACACAAGCAAACTGGACTATTGACATACTAGAAAATAGAATCCGGCAAATCCGGGTTTAACAAATCCAGCACTTCTACACTTTCCTTCTATGAATGAATAACTACGAAGTGCATAAATTCTACCGAGACATTAGTGAAGCGGATAAATTGACATGTGTAAGATAATAATTAGTTGATGGAGAAAGATATATAAAATAAATAATATAATATAGATAGAAGATGTCTAGAAGTCTTTCTAGATCTAGAAAGACTTCTAGAAATTTTACATGCCATATTGGATTTTTGGGGCCATGTGGCAATGGAATGGACCAATGCACAAACCATTGGAGATGCTCTAATTCAGCACAACAAAACCTGCACTTCCCAAAATGTGCAGGCACATCACGTGAAACTAACACAAATTGTTTATACTGTGAGCTGTTCTAATCTCAGTAACTCAGATAGAAAACAATCCTATGGATGAATGTGACACGGGAACGGAATTTATATATAAGTTCAATTCAACTGATCCTTACATTGTCAACTTCTTATTTGCAAAGGGAACTTGCTCGCTGAGAAGTAATGATATGTTTCCGAAAAATAAACCAGTTGGTTGCTTCCCGCCAACATGTATTTTCTTTTCTGTAATTTGAACCTTGAAAATGTGAAGATAAAAGGACGACGTCTGCAAAAAGAGAACGATTTCAAATTACCAAAAGCCCGCACAGATGATTGGGCCATCGACCATTCCACATATAGAAGTACTAAATTCTACAAATGAAAGGTAGAGACGCAGTTTAATCATATACATTTCTGAAAGCATTAGTCTCAGTTGTTCAGAGTCACCTCATTTAAAGTTAGCTGTGCAAGTAAAAAAATAGCAGTGGAGGAACGCAAAAGGAACCACATTTATGGACACTTCCTACATAGTACTTTATACAGAACATTTTTGCACCTATCTCTATTGTCCCATGGTGTAGCAAACTAGCACCATGACATCATAGCATAATCATCTGTAAAGATGCTAACTGCCTAGACACGGTATATAATAGCAAAGTTATAGAATGTCTTCAAATTCAGGTCATATAGTACCAGTATTTCAAACTGAACAACAGTGCCAGTCACTCTTGCAGAGTTTACACAGCTCAATTACTGCTTGATGAGTTCAAGGATTACATATGACATAAATTGGTCAGTCAGGATTACAGCTGACAAGTCACAACACATGGTGTGAATTAAATCATGGCACTCTATCTACCTAGTTTCATAAATATCGATAAAAATTGAGGCACGGCAGTTTTTCTCCTTTTCTCCTTTTCGCCACTAGCATTGCACCAAGAAATTTAGAACTTACAAGAACAGCAACGAGCTTCGTGTCCGGACTCCAAATGGCCTGTAAATTCTCCCCTTCTCTAGTGATCGAATTCAAATCTCTCTTATAC